CACATGGGAGCCCAGGGTGCTGAAGTCCAGACAGGATTTCATCATTCCAGCTCTCCAAAGACACTGCCCTTGAATCTTGAATTTCATTACACTTTTCTCACTGACTGCCTCATACCCAACAGCAGTCATGTGGTTAAAAACCCTCTATGAGTACCATCAGGAATTTTCAGTCTGCTTGTGCACAAATTAAGAAGAGGCTGTGTCATCTCCTTGGGGAGCCAGTTGTCAGCTCTCTGAAGAACCTCTGCAAAGGTGGACACTGTGTCTGGCAGTCTTCAAATAGAGCAGCAAGTAAGAGGTCTTATATGACATTTGCCTCTTTTTATTGCACAAGAACTATTTCGGGTATTAAGGACACTTTGCATAGTTCAGGAGTTTTCTCTTAGCCACAGGTTTTGTGGTGATGAAGCCCACACATTGAGTCAGAATTTTAAGGTCCACATTCAGGACTGAAGATCTTTTGGAAATGAATTTCTATGCTCCTCCAGAAATAATCTGTTTTACATGCACCAGAACTGTTTCTGTGGATGGAGTCAGTAAATTGAGAGAATCATGGCATTTGCTTCAAAATTGCACATTTGCTCCAAGCCATGACATAAATGTAAACACAGAGGATTATTATCCCACTTGTCAGTGCAGTCCATATCACTCGGATCAATCTCAGTTGCATAGATGTGCAGCCTCTGAGTTCCTTCAGGACTGTATGTGACCCTATGTCTTCAACCACCTCCATACAGCCTTTCTTTCTTTCCCGGGTAAAAGTTCCTGAAAGACTAGTCTTAATCACCAATATGCCTGGCAAAAACTCTATTCAGTTTACTGGAGTTCAATGGGTCACTCTTTTTGTAAATACTATTTAAGGGGGGAAAAAAAGAAAACAAAGAACCTCACAGGTTTTGGAACCACAGAGGCTTGAAGTCTCTTGCATGTGTGGGTATGGAAAAAAAAGAGCTGGCCAGCATAATTCCCATTCCATTTTTTTGACTCCTTTATCAGGAAACTTCCCATCATCGTATTCTACATACAAGCAGACTGGGTATGTTGTCAGGAAAAGAATGAAGATGAGAGAGGAGTCCTGCCAGTGGGAATTTCTCAGCACTGTTTTCCTGCATAACAGTCAGCCTTTTTATAAATAGAACCTCATTTCATGCAATGATATAATATTAATCTGTCACTGTATTTGGCACAACCATAGGATCATGAACTACTTGTTTGCTAATTACCATTTAAGCTCATGCACAGAGCACGGGCTGTGATAATATTAGTTTGGTCAGAGTCACAAGTCTGCCAGTGCCAACAACAGTTCAGTGTCTGTTTCCAGTCTCTGAAAGTGTTGTATCTGCATCCTTTCATCTCAGGAGGTAAAAATCCTGGGTTCTCTCTCATAGTATGAATAATTTGTCTTGTCATTCAGAGCCCTAAAGGAAAACCATGTGGCAGTTTCTGTTAGCTGTTCACATGAGAAAAAAAATTTTAAGAGGACAAGCAAGTATATATAAGGTATGATTAACCACTGTTTGTTAATTATTTTTCAAAAGCTTGAAAAGCTCCACAAGACTCCAACATGGAGGAGAAAGCAGCTGTTAGGGTGATGAGACACTGGAACAGGTTGCCCACAGAAGTTGTGGATACTCCATCCCTGGAAGTGTTTAAGGCCAGATTGGATGGGGGCTCTGAGCAACCTGATCCAGTGAAAGGTATCTTTGCCCACAGCAGAGGGATTGGAACTAGATGATCTTTAAGGTTTCTTCCAATCCAAACCATTCCATGATTCTTACCTCATGTTTTGTAAGAATCATAGAATCATAGAATCATCTAAGTTGGAAGAGACCTCTAAGATCATTGAGTCCAACCATTAACCCTGCTCTGCTGAGTCCACCACTAAACCATGCCCCTAAGCACCACAACTGCATGTCTTTTAAATACCTCCAGGGATGTGACTCCACCACTTCCCTCAGCAGCCTCTTCCAATGCTTCCACAACCCTTTTGGTGAAGAAATTCTTCCTAATATCCAATCTAAACATCCCCTGGTACAACTTGAGGCCTTTTCCTCTTATCCTGTTGCTTGTTACTTGGGAGGAGACATTGACCCCCACCTGGCTACAGCCTCCTTTCAGGTCTTTGTAGATAACAATAAGGTCCCCCCCGAGCCCCCTTTTCTCCAGACTAAATGACCCCAGCTACCTCAGCTGCTCCTCATCACACTTGTGCTCCAGACCCCTTACCAGCTTTTTTGCCTTTCTCGGACACACTCCAGCACCTCAGTGTCTTTCTTGGAGTGAGAGTCCCAAAATTGAACACAAGATCTGAGTTGTGGCTCCAGCAGTGCCAAGTACAGGGGAACAGTCACTGCCCTGGTCCTGCTGGGCACACTGTTGCTGATATAGGCAAGGATACCTTTGGCCTTCTTGGCTGCCTGGACACATATTCCTGCCTCATATTCCGCTGGCTGTTGACCAGCACCCCCAGGGCATTTTCCACTGGGCCTCTTTGCGACCACTCTGCCCCAAGCCTGCAGCTCTGCATGGGGTTCTTGTGACCCAAGTGCAGGACCCATCCCTTCACCTTGCTGAACCTCAGACAACTGGCCTCAGCCCATTGATCCAGGCTGTCCAGATCCCTCTGAAGAGCCTTCCTACCCTCTAGCAGATCAACATTCCTGCCTAACTTCACATCATCTGTGAACTGACTGAGGATGCCCTCAAACTCCTCACCCACATCATTGATAAAGATATTGAACAGGACCAGCCCCAATACTGTGCCCTGGGAAACACCAGCTGCCACCTGAATTTAACTCCATTCACCACCACTCTCTGTGCTTGACCATCCAGCCAGATTTTTTACCCAGTGAAAATTATGCCAGTCCAAGCCATGAGCAGCCAGTTTCTCCAGGAGAATACTGTGGGAAACAAGGTCAAAGGCTTTAGTAAAGTGTAAATAGACAACACTCCCAGCCTTTCACTCATCTACTAAGTGGGTCACCATATCGTCAAAGGAGAGGAAGAAACGGAGGAAGCCCAGGGCTGTCATTACACAGACAATAATCCTGCCGGGAGCTTTCTCAAGCAACCAAAGGCAAATGATGTGGATATGATTCTTCTAAGTTTTACAGTTGCCCAAATAGTTCTGAATGGTGGCAGTGACACTAGTCAGTCATTTATCAATTTCCCCTGCTGCTTCTCATGAAAGCTCTTGATCAGCCACAGAGGTCCTAGGCTGGGCTGTCTGCAGGTTCAGGAGGGTGATGCTGATCTGATGTATTCAGATCACACATAGAAGACTGATACAGATAAAAAATTCTGTAGGAACTGATGATTTTTAAGTCTTTTCATTCATTTGGTGAAGTTTTCAATTCCAGAAGTTTCTGAATTCATTAGAACACTATTACTATGTATTAGTAAAACAGTAGTAGCTTTTGTTATATTTCCAGTTCAGTCACATTGCTATTAGAGACAGTGGAATTTTAGACAACATAATGGGACCCATGTTTGCGTTATAAACAGTTTCACTGTCTAAGCAGTTTCACTGAAATCGCATACAATTATTTCGATTTTTCAAATTTATTTAAAACTGAAAGTAATTTCCTTCTAGAGAAAAATCTTCTAATCCTCTTTAGAAGGATTTAAATGTAAAAATTTCTAGCAATGCAGAATAGATCTGTGGGTGGATTTCATACCTGTCTTTTCAGTCCTGTAGCTGATAAATGTTTCATATTATTGAGCAAGTCTGTATTCTTAAAAGCATTCAGTGCAAAATATTCCCTCAACAAATAAAGACTCAAGGTTGACTAATCTTACTTATGTTGAGCTTTACAGGTAAGGTATTATTCGTGCATCTGAAGATGTTAACCAAGTAGTCATCAAGTAGAAAGCATCTTAAATGTATAGGGAAAGGAGAAAATAATATCCTTTCTTTGATAACTGTCTTTATGCAAAGGAATCTAGTCCAGTTACCATTTACCTGTGTGTCTTATTACCAAGAAAAGTCCAACTGCAATCAACAGAATGACTCCAGAAAGTTAAGCAAGTATATCAAAGCATGCAGGAACAGAATTCTGGAAAGATGAGTTAATTGGAAATCTGAGGAACACAGCTGGAAAGCAGTGCACTGAATTCCTGAGATAAGGGTCCGTTTTTTTAATTACTTAGGTGGAAAAGAACAAAGTTAAATTACTTTTAGGAAGTACTAAGAACATGTCTGATCTGCTATGTAATAAACAACTGTGGCCTCTGTCCCTGCCACAGTACAGTTGCCCCTGCCCAGCAGAGCTAGTGATCAGTGTTGGCTGTCTTTCCATGCAGGTAAAGGCTTTTTGTTTCTCTTGGTGTTAAAAGGATCAGCGCTTTTTTGTGTTTGAGATGTCATGGGCTGGCTCCACAGGTAAACCAGATCAGAAGCTCACAGCAATGTTGATACCTTATTTTTCCTAGAGGAACAATGTCATTAGTTGTGTTTTGAGGAGTATAATTTTTATGCATAAAACATATTTCACTTAAAGGGGTACTGCCAACTGACAAAAAAAATCCCTTTCTATTACCTATGTGTGTTACGAGCACTTAGATTATGAGAAATTATAGGTAGTTTTTTTTCCTCTGTTTTAACCTGATTGGTTTGTTTGACCCCTTGACAGTAACCCAGTGTTTCCTTTGACTATCCAGGTTATTAATCATTTTACCCTTTTGTTTTTGTGTGACCCTTTCATATTAAAATGAAGAAATCGATCTCACCAGGAAAATGTGATTGTAGTGATACAAAATCTAACCAGGGACTTAGGATGTAACAGGTTTTTTTAAGCAAGGTGTGCAATTGATACTGTATCTCAGGTTTTTGTATTAAATACTTAATCACAGCATGTAATTCTGTGACTTGTTTTTCAGTAGCCTGGCTTTGAAGCTCAGAATGAAAAAGTGCATTGCTTTAATGATAACTGTGTAGGTTCTCATCAAAATGAAAGTTTCGTCTCATTATCCCATTGTTCTCCTTTTCTTTTTTCTCCAAGCTGCCTGTCTCGTCCTGGGTTGTATGATTTTTCCTGATGGCTGGGATTCAGATGAGGTAAAACGGATGTGTGGTGAAAAGACAGACAAGTACACGCTGGGGGCTTGTTCAGTCCGCTGGGCATATATCCTGGCAATTATTGGAATCTTGGATGCCCTGATCCTCTCATTTCTGGCATTTGTGCTTGGAAACAGACAAGACAGCTTGCTAGCAGAGGAGCTCAAGTTGGAAAACAAAGGTAGGACTGCTTTAGAAACACTATTGTTGGGTGGCCTTGAGGGCAATTGCTTAAAAACAATAATCAGTTTCATTTTATTTTATGCTTAAAAGTTGGCATGCTGGCTTACTTCCTACATTGCTGGGAAAGAACAAATGCAAGAGGCAAGAGGAAGTTTTGGGTTTCAGCCTCCAAAAATCTAAGAAAGCTTGAAATTGCCATGATTGCTGCACTATGCATGACTTAGCTTTTAGAGCTACAGATGGGATGTTATTGTGTTACTCACTTTTACAGTATTTCATTACCATTTACGTTTCACTGTCTCCATCTTTTTCTGTATCCCATGCAAGATTTGTTCATTTGGTTCCTTTAGGATTTTGCATTGTAATATGAATGTCTGTGATATAGCATGTTTGTTAGCATAGTATATAGTAATGGCAGAGTGCTGGGGACTGGCAATGAGATGTGTAGTGGAACTGCCTATAATGCAAAGCACCAGTGGACTAAGGATCAGAGCCAGGAATGAAGAAGATTCCTAGTTCTTGTTTGATTGTATTGCTTTGAGCTCATTAGTCAGCTCATGGGAATCTAGGATGGTGTAGTGACTGAATATTCATACAGTGCATTGGGGATAGAACGCATTTCTAGATTAAAAACATGAAACTGGCTTGGACCAGTAGTTTATCACGCAGTTGTGAGGAGAGATGTTTTTTGAGGTGTGCAAGCTTGGTTTATTTCTGCAGCCCCTTCCCCTTGTGTTTCCCCAGCATCCCAGCTGAGTATCTGATGTGATAGATACCACAGAGGCCACATCCCTGCCTTGTCTTTTTAATGGGCCTGTTGTCCCTGGATCTGTCTAATCCCTTCTAAACCTGCTGATATTGTCGGCTTCTCCAGCACTGCGTGGCTGAAGCTCACTACTGACTGCTAAAGAAGTACTTTCTTTTATCTGTTTCAAATTGATCCCCTGCTAGTTTCACTGACTGTCTCCAAGTGCAGGATTCTGCATTCAACTCATCCACCACCTTTGTAATTTTGTAGGTTGCTTCTAATAATAGCAGAGATATTAGGAGCCTTTCACCACCAGATTAGAAATCAGAAGCTGTTTGGCAGCCTGTGTCATACAAAAATAGCTGGTCTCAGTCCTGCTCCAGAAGGACCATTATCTGAATACCTGACAGCACCAGCACAGAGGGCCCTGCTTGCTGGATTCCAGTCAGCACCCTCAGCCCAAAAATATATGGACTTGAAGATTGAACTTCATGCACTATTCCAGACCTTTGTGGAGCATACTAATGTTGTGGGTTTAGGACAGTCACTTGCAATTGCATATTTACATCTGTTCTGAGGGCATCAGTTTCAAGGACTGTCCCTGTGGCCCTTCTGTAAGGGTAATATTCATCTGCACTTGAAAATTAAAATACTTACCAGAAGAACATTCACAGCTACACTACAAGTACTTTTGGCATCGCCTTTGCGTCTGATTTGTCTACGCCATACAGAGCTCATGTACAGAACAACTACTTGTATCAAAGAAACTCATCTCTTTTGGCAACTTGTGAGAAAAAACAGCTTCTGGAGCCTCATCACCTCTCACATCGCTGGCACAGGGCCTTGCCAGAACATTTGGTCCGCAGCATGTCAGAAAAAATCATTCAGCAGCTCAAATTCCTTGGATTAAACACAGAAACATACCACACCACTGGGTTCAAGACAAATCAGAAGTCAACAAAAAGGGACCTACACCACTTTTCCCTTCACAGTTGAGCCTAATGATCACCACTTTTTAAATTGTCTTTCAAATTAAAAGAAAAAGAGTGAATTTGACTTCTAAAAAAGACATTTTCCTCCCTCTTTCATGGAAAGCTTCTGCTAAGCAACAACAGGGCAAGTCTAAATCCCCTTGCAGCCCCCCAGGATTTTCCCCTCTGCCGCCAGGCAGAGCCCCAGCCCTGAACACACATGAGGGCTTTGGCACTTACCCCATAAACTGCGTCCCTGTGTCCCCTTGCAGGTTAAGAGATAGTGGAGAACTACTCATCAGTATTAGTCTACATGCAGAGTAGCCATGCATCTCTTGGAAATAGTCAAGATGCCAAAGTACTGCCAAATGCAAATATCACTAGCACACCTTCCATATAGACAAGAAGACTAAGGATATAAGCAATACTTGCCTCAGCTTTCCAAGCCGCTCTTACAATGTGAAGTCAAAGTCCTTATAACAAGTAGCCATGGATATTAGACATGCTCCTATCCTTTCTTCCCCCTCCTCATCTGCCTGAGAACTGCCTTCAGGTTTATGCTGTCTTCTGTTTCTGGATTAGCATATATGGATGAGGAACTTCCCTTTCTCAGGGAAGAATCCCTGTGCTGCTGGTGCCTTCCAGGCTCAAAAACTATGGTTGGATAGTCATGGATGTCCACTGGCTGGGATCCCAGTGACTCCTTCCTCTTCATGGTGATGTTGGTATGGACATCCTGTGGCCAGTGATAACTAAAGTGTCCCCTTAAGGGGAAGTCATGGCTCCATCACGGCTTTACAGGAGAATGCACCTGGAGAGCATTCAACACTGTACCTGAAAGGAACCTCTACTTGCCCTATCAGCTCATCCTGTGCTGCTGAGACTTGGCCCTGTGCATGTAGATGACATTATGCAATAGCTCAGTAGGGGTAAGATACAAATTAAGTCTGAGAGTCACAACAGTGTTCATTTACGTGGAAAAAAACTTCAAGGACAAGAAATTATTAGATCAGACGTCTGGGTAGTTGTTTTCTTAATCATGTAATAGTTCTGTCGGGAGACTTTGATGAAAATCACCTCCCACAGGCTTATTAATGAGAGTCTGTGGCCGCTGAGCAAGTACCTGTTTCTGAGCATTGGTGGCAAAGAAACAGTTAAATGTATATGGAAAACTACAGGGTGGTAAAAATGTGAGAAGATGCCTGAAAAAGAAAAAGCTGTGCTTCTCTGTACACTTACCATGCCAAATTGTCCACCTGCTCTGTGCTTTTAATGCCCACAGTTCTGTATATTTACCTAGGTTCATGAATGCTTGTAAGTAAGGAATTTGACTGTTAAAATTAGTCATGGCAAAAGATGGCTGTATTTTCACTATAAATGAAAGTTTGCTTTTTTCACTACATGATAAAAATAGTGCTTACTCATTTCTTAATTTCTTCGGTGTGAGGATAAACTACCATGCAGCTTTCACATCTGAGAAATATAACTCAAGTTTGACAGACTTTCTTCAGGTTATAGTCTATTTAAAGCAGTTTCCCAATCATGCAAATTTTACACAATAATCCATTACTTTTTCCTTTTAAAAACTGCCTTTTGAACAAAAAAAATGTGTTTATAAAAAGACTTTCCCATTATCTTTATGTCATTAGCAAAAGGAGGAGAGAGAACATTATTGCATGGTTTTCTTCAATTTATAGGAACTAATGGTTATGACTTAAAGGCTTGTATGTCATTAAACTAACGGCATGCAGGGTGATAACAAATATAGTTAGAATTCAACTTAGCTTTAAGCTTCCTCAACACCATTTTGAGTGAGCCATCAACATCAGGCATAAACCTTGATGTGTTGTACAATTACATGATTTAACATTCTGAACTGTAATGTCTTAATGACATAAAATTAAAGTTCTGGCCAAAGGGTGAGGACTCCAAATGAGAAGCTTCCAAAGGAAGTTGTGAATGCAAGGCAGTTACATTTATGGTAGAAAGTGTTAATATGGTCTGCATCATGAGTGATAAATACAAGCGCATTCAGAAGACACTATCCTGTAAGTAGTATCAGTCAGAGCAGGTGGATGATGCACTTTGTGAACAGTTGTGGCTTTTCTAATGGACAGAACAGCTTCACAAGCTGTTTATGTTTAACATTTGACTCATCTTTGGGACCCATATGGTCACAGATATTTACACTAAAGATTTCCAGGAGTTACAAGCTTAGAGCTGAAATAGATAAAAGGAGCTGGGAGATAAAATATTTGAGGGATTCATCTACTTTGCAGTGATTGCAACTTACATGGACTCAGACTACACCACATCTCTCCCAACAGCCACATTGCAGCGAGCTCATCACAGAGCTGAATGCAGGGTGCCCAACCCAGGACTTGCCAGTTGCTTGACATTTATACCTTAATTTCTCTCCAGGATGTAGAAGGCTGGCTCCATACATTTGCCTGAGCTGCAGGCACTGCAGAGTAAACATGAAAAAGACTGTCACCAAGAAAACACATTCTCTTAGTTTAGTAAAATAAAAAAAAAAGTAGTATTGCATGGAGATTTGCGCACTTTTGGCTAAAGAATCATCTTCTGTAACAGGAATAGCCTACCCACAGTATCGCTGCTGCAACAGAAAACCTTCTGCAAAAGCCCTAGTTTCTGAAGCTGAGTGACAGGAGGCCAGCAGCTCACCTGTCCCATGGAGGGACAACATGACAGGGTGCACATCAGCTGTCATTCTTCAAAAGGAAAATAGCTCAGATCACAAGGCATGTGCAAACCACTGCAAAATTGCAAAGCGCCGCTTATCAGCATGTAGTTCACATGGCATGAATGCACAAACATTCAGGCCAACTTGTTCAAAATTAGGTAAAAAACCATGAATATTGATACCCAATTTAAGTTTTCCCGTGCAGCTACAATACATAAAAGAATTACCATCAGCCCCAGTAGTGATAAGGAGCACAAATCCAGGCAGAACAACATGTATACCCTTGTATACTCATGTTCTCTGTCTGATATAATTATATAGTCCCTTTTTTGTAAAGATCTATACCCACAACTCCTCATGAAACATAAGAAGTCAATGTATGCATGTTTTCGTTTCAGTTAGCATGTACATTACAAAAATAAAAATATTGTAAAAAATAAAATGCAGGATTTCTATTACTCTCTTCCCTTTTTTAGACTGGTACTTCTCTTCATGTCTCCTCCTATCCTTCCTTTCTAAAGAGTTCAAGAGTCACTCACTTCAGACTCTTGCTCCTTTGGTGTGTGGCTCCATGT